TTAAATTAAAAAAAAAAAAGAGCAGGACAGGATGCAGTCAGAGTACAGACCTGGACATTCAGACACCAAGCTCTGCCCCAGGAAATCCCTAGAAAGCAAATCTACCTTTAAAGCCCTCACCTCCTCTTCTACTCACTTTCCCCCTTAGCTTCTACCAGAGGCAAAGGCCCCCTGCCCTCACAGTACCCCAATCTTGGCTTAAGGTAAGAAAAGTATCTGATAAACTAAGCTCTTCACACTAAGGCAGAGGGAGCCTTCCTCCCGCTAAGGCAGGCATTGCTAAGCATCTAAGCACTCTCTCTTCTGAGCTCCCCCCCTTCCATAATTCACAGAATCCTTCTTAACAAAATACTTTAGGGAAACTACTACTAATCCATCAGAATAGGCGTGGAAGGTAAAACTTACATGGCGTGTTTGTCTTAAAGAATCAGAAACCCTTGGAAGGAACACCGAAGAAATACTACGGCTATGGTAATGACCCAGGAATACCAGACTGGAGTTATGGAAGAATTCCAGGTATCTGAGATACAAAGTCAGGGGTAGAGAGATGACAGAGTAGGCTAGTCCACCTAAATGTCGATGTTATCTGATTCTAGCAAGTCAATGCAGCTCAACTCCACAAACACCAGATGTCAGTTCAGTGCTAGATCCTACTAGGGGCTGGTCCCCACCCTCAAGGAGCTTGGAGTGTCGTGAGGGAGATGGACATAGATGCAAATAGCAACAGAATTAGAACTGAGCAGAAGAAGAGTGGAGCCTTTAAAGAAACACAGTAGCCCTGGCAGTTGAAAATGAGGAGGAAAGTGATCACTCTGGTTGGAAAATCATCAGGAAAAGCTTCCTGAAGGAAGCAGCCCTTGGGAAGGACCTTGAAGGAGGAGGAAGTGGAGATGGGAGAACGAGGTGACAAGAACATTATGCCAGCTGAGGGCAAACGCTTGAGCAAAGGTTTAGAATCGGAGAAGCCAGACAGATTCAGAGAATGGAGACATGTCCAGGGGTGGAGTAAAGGAGTAGAAAGATGAGATGGAGAGTATAATTGGGGTCATATTGTGGATGTCTTTGAATGCTAGGAAGAGGATTTGTCCTCCTAAACCACCACCTAGGGATCAACTGCTTGTTGGATGGGATGTCTTCAGGGAGCCACCAGGGCAGACTCTTGAGGCCTTCGAGAAAGCCTACCCTTTCCCCTTTCTCAGTAGTGCTCCTCCACATCTCTGTGTCTTTGCTCATGCTGTTCCCTCCACCAACAATGCTCTTTCTTGCTGCTCTGCCCAGCAAACTCCTATTCATCCTCAAAATCCAAGCATGAAGTTCGCCTCTTCTATGAAGCCTTCCTGGCTTTCTTCTGTAGTTATTAATCCCAATGTTCTGTTCGCCATTTGTCTATCTCCCCATTAGTCTAATCTCCTGGAGGTCAGGAACTGTCTCTTATTCTAGAAATAGGTCCATTCCTCATACTGGAAATATATAGTCTATAAATTCCTAGTACTTTGTGCAGATGAACACTGCCAATAGTGAAGAAGGAAGGGAGGGAGAGAGGAGGAAAGAAGGAAGAGAGAGCATCGGTTCTGGTTTAGGGCACTGGCAAATATGCCCAGTGGGCTTGGCCTCCTGGTTTTATCTGTCTCACATGACATCAGCTGCCTGTTATGAAATGGAGGTCGTGAGAGCAAAAATGTGACAAAAAGACCAGAATAGAACAAATAGAACAACTAGAACACAGGAGACCCGCCTCCCAACCCACACGGTGCCTGGCCACCTCTCCAGCTATTAGACTCCAGCTTTCCTGGGAACCTCTCCTCCCAGCGAGGCTGAAGACAAGCCCTGGGCTAGTGGCAGGTGGAGACTGGATCCCGGCCCTGAGGGAAGTGAACGGGTTAACTCTCCCAGTATTCACTGGGCCAGTCTAGCAGCTCACCCCAGAGCGCTGTGAGTCCAGGCTTGTCTCTGGTGTTCTCTTAATTTTAATTTCCCTCCTACTCCTCCTTCTGGGAGACATTGGGAAGAGAAGCTAGGAGCCCTTGGCACCAGCTCTCTCGGGGGTGTCGTTTAAAACTGCCAGTAATCACCATCTTCTGGTTTATTATTATCTCGCTTTCTCTCATAGCTATTCTTGTCATCCCTGGATATCTCTCTCTCTCTCTCTCTCTCTCT